CACTACTTGCACACTCTTCAGAATGTCACACTCTGAAATGAAACTCATCTCAGCATCAAGCGTTCTTATTTGTGAACTGGGCTGTTGTAGCGATTTAGTTTCCTGAAATATTACTGCCTTAACAACTATTAGATTTTTCAGTGCACTGAGGGAAAAATTACATTAGATCCCACATCGTGTGAAATTATTAATGTTTGAAATTTCAGTAATTGATATAGTTTCAATATATACTTATATATGTATACTTAAAACTGAGCTGTAAACAGAGAGCAGTCTGGGAAGAGTTTAAAAGTTAAACAATACAGCAACACAAACAATGCTGTCTAAAAGGACATGTACTCAGCTCAGTTAGTAAAGTACTTACCTAACATGCAGGAAGCTCTAGGAATAATGCACACCCACCACCACGCCTAACAGATATAGTGGTTCATTCCTGCAATACCAGAATTGGCAAAGTAGAAGCAGGAAGGCCCCAAGTTCCTGGAAGTCTTGAGTTATACAATAAGTTTGTGGCCAGCCTAGGCTACAAGAGACCCTGTCACACAAATACCCAAAGAAAGAAATCCACTGATTACTGTGTACCTTACCTATCAATGGGTAATGGACTGTTGAACTAGATTCAGCATGCTTTCAACCAACACTCAGTTGGGTCTTTGGGATTCTGCTCTAAGGGAGGAATGACAGTTTCTTGACACCTAAGAGTATTTCAGGAGATGATGGCTCATCTAGAGTGGTATGGTGCTTCTAAGATATAGTTCTAGTTCTAATTCAGGCACATAGTCTTTGGTCAGTCTACATCAGAACTTTCTTTAATCACAACAGTGGAGAGACCTGACATGGCATATGATCTATGGACAAGAGTGTAGCCAACAGAGAAAATGCACTAGTTAAATTACCTTCAGCAATGTGAACTTTATCTTCTACCCATGTTTAATTTTCTAAATTACAGTGCCAACGGAACAAACAGATTGTGTATCCATATGCCTGTGATTATGTCTAATTCTGATATGTAACTCACTTTTAAAATTATACTTACCTCTTACTATGAATAAAGATAATTACCTTTACCTGAAGAAAGAGAAGTGGGGGTAGGGGTGGGTACTTTCTCAGGTTCTTGGAGAGCATCAGAAGGGCAGAGACTGCATCTTCTGAAGCAGGACCGTTTCAGGGGTTCCTTACTATTATCTGTATAAGTTGTTCACTAATGAAACACCTGTTTATCATTTATCTTGGGTCTAATGAACTCATTAATACCCCACATTCACATGGAGGTAGAAAAAATAAGTTATTCCAATGGTTTGAAATTAAAATCCTATTGAAGAATATAGTTATTGAATTAGTAGGAAAACTAACTCCTTATGACTGGACAGATCATTTCAAAAAGAAGCTGAGAACTGATCTCTGTTAGATTACAGCACACTCACTTAGCCCTGACAGGGAGGTGGGGGAAGTAAACACTGCAAAGTCACAGCACAGAACAATACAGGTGTGTTTGTCATTATAGATTTAATCACAAGAAAGCAACTTTTCTGTCCTGGGGTCATCTGCTGAATGTTATTCTAATCCAACTTCTCATAATCAGTGTCAGAAAACGGCCTCTGACGTAAGAGACGATGACGCATTCACACTTTGAACTCACTGTGATCAGCTCAGTTATACCACTTGACTCCTAAGAAATATCCCTTCTTGACTCAGAATTAATAGCAGTGGTGTGTGTGTGTGTGTGTGTGTGTGTGTGTGTGTGTGTGTGTGTGTTGTCCCTCAACTCACTTGGAAGAACCACAAATTAAAGGGCAGCCATGAATGTGAACACCAGACACATGAGTGGTTAAGGGGAAAAAATCCTAGGTGCCACTTGGTTAATTTCTGGTTGTTTTAAATTTGTTTTCTTTCACAACACATGGAAACCAAATCTCTCTCATGTGGCAATCTGAATTTCTTCATCTCACTGACAAAATTACCCTCCTGAGTGGTCAATCACGAAAAGAGTATAACTTCATTCTACTCATGCAAGACATGCAACTAACATTAATGAAAAAACTTCATTGATCCTGACATTGAGGCTTTTCTCCAAACTAGTTACATTATGGTTATATTGACATCCACCCTCCATTACAGGTCCTTACTATTTATATTATGTATGGTAAGTAATCCAGATATTGAGTATAGCTAAGTGTCTATGTAGGGAATTTACCATCCCAGAGAGTGCAAAAAAGAAAAGAATATCATCCCTAGATAGTACAGTAATAAAACATAGCTGTGAGTGTAGCTCATGTTAAAACACACATGGTTCTTGATCCTTTCTGTAGCGTGCATGCAGACAAGCACACACACACACAGCAAAACAGACAAGTAAAATAGGAAAAATAATTCTATTGTTCCTTCATTTCACTGATCAAATAAAAAGAAATAAATCAAATTCTTATGATCTGATGATTCTTTAGGCCTTGAGATAGCCTTGTGGGTAAAGATGCTTGCTGTCAAAGGTAAAGACCTAAGTTAAGACTTCTAGATTTACACAAATCAAAATTAGGAGAGAACAATTCAAATCCTAATTTGGCCTCTGATCTTATGTTTACAATGGCAAGGGTTCACCTGCCCACACAGACACTGACAAATAAATAATTAATAGTGTAGAAAGAGTTCACTTAATTCTTCAAGACAATATATGTCTAAACATTTGCTGTGCTCACAAGATTTGTATATCAATGAAAGAATTGCAAAGGTGGAGTGTTCCTAGGACTCAGGAGACCATCTAAAAAGAAGAGGATATTCTTGTGTTTATGTGAACATTGAGGTCACATTTGAGAAGTGTGAAGCAATTTGCAAATATCACGCCCCCCTCTAAATAATCCTGAAGAACACACCAAGGAAATAACAGAATTATGAAGAGTTTTGAAGAATTATTGGAGCTGGATTTGAAAAGTCATATGTGCTTCAATGTGTAGCTCTTGATGTTTGTGGAAACTGATTCAAATAAGATGTTCAAGTGAACACTGAGAAGTGAAAAGAATAAAGAAGTTAGTAGTGTAATTCTTGGGATGGAGTAACAGATTGGAGATGGGAATTCAAAGCAGAAAATATGGAGGTCAACAGAGCTTGTATTTTAACGTAAATGAATACTCCCTCGGGGTAATACCAAAAACTACTAATAAAGAATAACTTTTTGTGGTATATATCATCATGTCTCCATCTCCAAACTAAAGGATTATAACAGCTATTGAAAATCTATTAAGAACCAGTCAGGAGTGTCACAGGCTTTTAATCCCAGCCTTTGAGGCTGAGGTATGCGGATCTCTATGAGTCCAAGACCTGCCTGGTGTATAAGAACAGGTTCCCAGGCAGCCTCTGAAAAACCTGTTTCAAGAAACAAAACAAAAATTCTACTAAGAAAACTATGAAAACGAGTCATCAAGAATGCAACCAGATCCAAATTATAAAGGATCTCAGTCTGTTCTTCACTACCTTGCCAATATGCCATGTTGACATTTTCTGCTTAGTGTATTTGAACAGTGTCACTGCTGCCCTACAGCACACATGCACTGGAGTTTCAGGCTTATTCTGCATGTAAGAAAGCTTAGTTGGGGCCAAAACCCCACACCAGTCAGCTCTGCCCTAAAACCACATGGCCCAAAGTGATAAACTGAATTTGGGCAGGTACAGGTGGTACCTAGTTTTCCAACTTGGTGTGGTTCAGTGCGTTCAGCAAACACAGGTAGCTCCCAGAACTTCCTTGAGGGCAATTAATACTAATCAGTTGATTCTTCTGTTCAATCACCATGAAGGTAGCAACTGGGGAAATGAACTGACACATCAGCTCTAACTTTCAATTTAGGGAAAAACAAACCAAATTTGTGTTGCTTAAAAACTTTAGATGGCCTGTTTTGTTTGTTTGTTTGTTTTTGTTTTCTTTTCCAACATACTTTGCCAAGTTCCTACATAGTTTTCTTGGAGAAAATTCAAAGCAGTCATTATATGGAAGCACATGGAGCAATGAAATGAGACCTGACCCTGGAAAATAAAAAGACATTTCAGAGCAGTGACTCTCAGGTCCTACATTGAGATACACAAAAGCATCAGCTTATTTCATGAGGCCTACAAATAGGATGCTAAACAGGGCAGTGCTGAGCAGAATGTCTTCAGGAATTAGCACACACACACACACACACACACACACACACACACACACACACACACCACTGCTGTTAATTCCGAGTCAAGAAGGGATATTTCTTAGGAGTCAAGTGGTATAACTGGGCTGATCACACACACACACACACACACACACACACACACACACACACACACCACTGCTGTTAATTCCGAGTCAAGAAGGGATATTTCTTAGGAGTCAAGTTGTATAACTGGGCTGATCACAGTGAGTTCGAAGTGTGAATGCATCAATGTCTCTTACTTCAGAGGCCGTTTTCTGTCACTGATTATGAGGGAGGATGACGTCTCTGCGTAGGAGAGTTTCCCCCTAGCTACTACAGTGTGGCTTTTGGACTGGAGAGGATAGGACAGAGTGTGATAGTAGCTGTAACTTGGGGGCTGAGTTTTCACTCTGGGGCTGTGCCCCAGCCCTCGGAGTGTAGGGCTGTAGCCCCAAACTTGGTGCTTCTGCTTTTAGTGTTCCATAGGAGAGTGGTTTTGTTTTTTTTTTTTTTTTTTTTTTTTTTTTTTTACTTTATAGGACAAAGTGCGATAGTAGCTGGGGATAGGGGGCTGAGCTTTCACTCCGGGGCTGTGCCCCAGGCCTCAGAGTGTAGGTCTGCAGCCCCACACTGGGTGCTTCAGCTTCTCTTGCTCCAGCTCTCCAGGACTCTGGTGCTGGAGGTCAGAGTGCCAGTGTTGACGCGTCAACTGAGATAAGGAGGTGGAGAGGGCAGTGGTGCCAGCCGGCCCCAGAACCCTTCCCTTTCCCAATGCCCCCCTGACTGTGCTCTGCTCTGCTGCTGTCCATCTGTCCAGCTGCAAGGCCCCCCATCGTGGGCACAGGGATGGCGGTGACTCGTACTGCCACCGTGGAGTGCACATGGAGGATTTTTGAGCTGCTGCCAGTTCTAATTATTTTCATGTTCTATGAATTTAAAGTAAGTAGTGCCATGCTCATGGTTTATTTGCTCATGAATAAAAATGCTCTATGCAGGTTCTAAATGAAATAAGGAATTTGGTCATTTTCATCATGTTGGCTGTTTGGGGAGAAAATACACAAAATTAATCCACAGTTGAAGTCTATTGCCTATAGAAGTACACATGCAAAACAAGGGAAGGGAGTGATTATTTTTCCTTGGGTTGCTGGGAAAGTCTTTAGACTGAGCAAATAAGTTTTAGTAGATGAGGTGTGAAAACAGCATGCACAGGAGCTCACAGCATAAGTGAGCCAAGGGCCTGATGTGAAGTGATGCTTACTGTAGACCAGTGGGTCTCAAGGATTGCTGTGGGGTGTGAGATCCAGCACAGGCTCATCAATGGTGAGACACATAGAAAAAAATGTATAGATATTCCTGATAGTATGAGAATCAAATGTCAGGGAAAAAAAAAAAAAACACAGGAAGGAGAATTGATAGGGGTAAAGATAGAGAAGTTGGTCCTAAATGGGGCAAGAAGAAATAAGAGCTAAAATGAGTGTGACTTTCTTGATTAGCTGTAGAGATGGGTGGGATGTGTGGAGAATCTAGAATAATCCCAAGTTCCTGGCTGTGTTAGTTAAGTTACTGAGATGGGGCTTATGGGAAGAGAAGCATATTGTAGATGAGAGATGATTTCAGATCACACGCATCTTCCTCAGAATCCACAATTAGGGCCTAGGGAGATTGCTCAGTTCAGAAAGGAAAGTGCTTGCTATGATCTGGAGTTGGAGCCCTTAAGGCAATGTAAATGCTGGGTGGAGGTGTGAATAGAGGAATCCCAGGTTCATTGGTAATCAGTTTATCAGAGAATGTGTGAGCTCTAGATTGAGTGAGAGACTCTGCCTTAGAAAAATTGAGGTAGAAAAGGAAGACATTACCACAGCAGCCTCTGGCTTTTCACATAAAATACACAGGCACCTAGCAGTTACCAACACTTATTTTTGATAAGGTTGTGGGTGAGGAACATGGAGGGATTTTGCAGACTTTGGCTGGATTTTCTGTGGTTCAGTGGGCTGTGTGGATGTGTGTTGCATTTTGTAAGGGAACAGTTCTCTCCCCTTCAGGATGGTGTTAGCTGTGAGTCTTCTATTGGTGCTGTTTGTCAGATTGAGAAAAGTAGTCCTAGTTTGCAGTCTCCTGATAATTAGAAGGTTGATTTTCTTACATATTTTATTACTATCTGTTGAGATCTTCTTTTTCTTCATTTCTTTTACTGTGGATTATGACATTGGTTTTTTTTAACTGAACATTACATTCCTTTCTGTGTACATATGGTGTGTGTGTGTATGTTTGTGTGTGTGTGGGTGTGTATGTAAATGCAAAGCCCCAAGAGTCGGTTTTATCCTTCAACCACATTGGTGATGGGGGTCAAACACAGGCCCTAAGGATTGGTGGCAAAGTTTTTACCTGCTGAGCTATCTTCCAGGCCCAATAATATTAAAATTTTTATTTAGATGTATTTATTATATATAGTGTGTTCTTTATCCTTATATCCCTGCAGGCCAAAAGAGGGCACCTCATTGCAGATGGTTGTGAGCTACCATGTGGTTGCTAGGAACTGAACTCAGAACCTCTTCACAACTAGCTAATGTTTTTAACCATTGTGAGATCTCTCCAGCCCTTGCCCCCACATATTTTTTGTTTTACAAAGTCTTTTATGACTATAAATTTTCCTGTTACACACTGAATTAGTTGTTTTGTGTAAGTTTTGTGTTGCATTTTATTATTTAAAAAAAAAAACCTTTTATGTTCATGGATGTTTTGCTCTTGCATGTATGTCCATGTGTCACATGTTTGCTGTGCTTAAAGATGCCTTAACGGGTGACATATTTCCCTGGAAATGGAGTCATAGATAGTGGTGAGCCACCAAGTGGATCCTGGGAACCAAACATGGGTCATTTATCTACAAGAATGACAAATGCTCTTAACTGCTGAGCTCTCTCTCCAGCCCTTCCTGTTTTTTTTTTTTTTTTTTTTTTTTTTTTTTGATAACTAATTTTAACCCGTTGTAATCAGAGAAGATGCTTCTCAACATGGGAATTTTTTAATTGAATTTTTACTATTTTAAACTATTTGTATGTGTGTGTATGTGCTTGTAGCTTCAGCTGCCCAAGGAAGCAGCAAGAGGGCATCAGATCTCACAGAGCTGGAGTCATGGGCAGGCACTTAGGGACTTCTTGACATGGATTCTGGGAACTGAAGTCTGCTCCTCTGCAAGAGCAGCAAATGTTTTCAACTGCTGAGCCATTTCTCTGGGCTTGGCCCTGTGATTTGATTATTTAAAGAAACAAAAAAAAAAAAACAAACAAAGAAAATATTGAGGTGTGTTTTAGCTTAGTGCCTAGATTTTTTCTGAAGAATCTTCCATGTACATTTGAGAGTGAATGTATTTTCTGCTATTATTGCATAGTATTCTGCTAGTATGATAGTCTAACTTATTTGTAGTGATTTTACCTCATTCTCTTTTCATGCTGACTCACTGAAAGTGAGATCTAAAAATAACTAACTACTGTTGATGAACGGTTTGTTTTATCCTTACTTCAACAGATTTACATCATTTTGTGGTTCTCTTGCATAAAATCCTACATCTTAAAGACTGAGCTAGCCTTTTCCATCACATCTTTGTTTCTAATAACAGTTTTAGTCTTAGCCTTTTTTATCTGCTATCAGAGGAGTCAATCTACTTGTTTATGATCAGTTAGTACTGGGGCCTGGTGATAAAGACTAGAATAACCCACTGAGGCAAGATGGATTCAGGAAGAGGTAATATATGCAATGAACTGCAGGCAATACTCTCTGAGGTGTGGAAGAATATTTTAGAGGGTTTGTGGAGGGCTTGGTTATACATTCATAGCCTTTGGAGGGAGATAATGGAAATATTTGCCATGCCTGAATATCTGTTCTTGTGATCCTAGAGGCAAATCGTTGTTATCATTGCCTTGCAACATGATATCACACTTTTGTGTATGTGGCTCAGGTGAGAAAGAAAGAGACAGGACCAGGATAAAATATTTTTAACCCTTTTCTGAGCCCTTGTAAGGTCATTCCTGTACCTTAAGGATCTAAAGCACAAGGTTAAAGGAACTCTCCATGAAACCCAGAGCAGAGGCTGTGCACCTACACTTTGGATCCTTTCTGGAGTCACAGATGTAAAAAGGAAAATAAAGATACAGGGAATAAAAAAAGAGGATACTATTGCATGTATTTTTTTTTTGGTAGAAGTTAATAAGCTGTAGATAGCAGCTTGTAAAAGGTCCTTGTCATGTACTAGCATAAAACAGGTTTTTTTTTTCTTTCTTTTTTTTTTTTAATTTAATTTTATATAACAAAGTCCAATTAATGAAAACAAACATTTATACACAATATTTGGGAATTTGGGCATCGTTCTTTCCAAACTACTTCCTGCTGGTAAGGGACGCTGTCTTGGGGGATTCGAAGAAGATTCAGATATCCTAGCTGTAGACTGTAGGGCTGTTTTGTCCAGCTGTTTGGAATGTAGGATCAGCTTGTACTCTGTTTCAGGCGGTCTGGCGTGATCAAACCACATTAGTCTGGAAGGAATCCACATCTTTTCATTTTCTGTGGAAACAAAAATAGAAATACTTTTCCCCAGTAACTTGTTCTTCAACTTAAATTTTGGAGTCAAAGCGTTTTTTTTTTTTTTTTAATTTATTATTTTACATGTTGATCCCAGTTCCCTCTCCCACCCTCCCTCCCTCCCCTCCAGCCCTCCCTCCTTCCTTCCCTCCCTTTTGTCCTCTCTTCCCTCTCACATGCACTCTAAACACCCTCCCCTCCCAAAACCCCACCACAATACCATATGTAGGGGAATGCCATCCAGTTGGGGTCATGTAGATCTGACAGGTCCTGTGAAGTAGGGACTAGGGCTTCTCTCCTATCTCTAGAATAAGGCAGTTATCCCTCCATGGGGCATATGTTTGCAAATTCCTTTTGTGCACCAGGGATACATCCTGGCTCCACTTTCTGAGGGCTCTTAGACTGCTCAGACCTTCTGGCTGAGACCCATATTCAGGGGGGTCCGAGTCATTCCCCTTTTGGCTTCCCAGCTATCAGTCTAGTGGCCCTTAGCTCCTCCTTGTTCAGGTAAGCTGTCTCTATGTACTTCTACCGCATCGTCTTGTCCTCTCCATCTGCTTCTGGGTTCAAGTTCGACTCAGTGTTTATGTATGGGTGTTTGCTCCTATTTTCAACAGGCATTAGTTGAGGACTCCATGGAGAAGTTAGTTGTTGATCTCACTCTCCAGGAAGGGCATTTATGATAGCCTTTCCACGGGAGCTGAGATTGTTAGTTGGGAGCAGTCTTGTAGTTCCCTCGACCTTTCTTTGTGTTCAACTTTATCTTCAAACCAATATTGGCTCCCTCTTTTATGTTCTCTCTCTCTGTCACTCTCTCTCTCTGTCTCTCTCTCTCTCTTTCTCTCTCTCTCTCTCTTTCCTATTTTCCATTCCTAACCAGGCTCAATCCTCCTGGTCGCACATGCCTTCCTCTCCTCCCCCTCATTTTCTCCTACTTCTCTCTCCATTAGCTGTCCTCCCCCACTTTACCTGAGGTCTGGGGGACTTGTCCCTTCCCAGTTCTGTGAGGGACTTTATATGAATCTCTTAGAATACAACTTGTATCCTAGTTCCTCTGGTGATGTGAATTATAGGCTGGTGATCATTTGATCTAGTTCTAAAATCCATATATGAGTGAGTACATACTGTGTTTCTCTTTTTCTGACTGGGTTACCTCATTCAGGATGGTTTCTTCAAGTGCCATCCACTTGTCTGCGAATTTCAAGATACCATTATTTTTTTCTGCAGAGTAGTATTCCATTGTGTAGATGTGCCACATCTTCATTAACCATTCTTCAATTGAGGGGCATCTAGGTTGCTTCCAGGTTCTTGCTATTACAAATAGTGCTGCTATGAACATAGTTGAACAGATGTCTTTGTTGCAT